TGAGCTCTGCACAGCGCTTCAAGAGCTGCCTGGCCCATGCCTTGCAGAGCAGCTGGGACTGTCTGCGGCCGGCAGGGCCTTTCCCACGAGGAGGGGCTGTGGTGAGCGGGGGCCCTGCCTCAGCCCCCACTGCAACCGCTGCGCCTGCAGAGCCCCCGCTTTCGTTTCGGGACACCGCGAGCCCGGAGCCCAAGTCGTGTTTGCCTGTCCCTCTGGGGCAGCATCATCCCTGCAAAGCCCTCCTGCCCCTTGGCCCCCACCCTACTCTGCATCCACAGGACTCCAAGAGCCCCAATATCTGCAGGAGTTGCTTAGTCTCCAAATGTGCAGAAAGGAAAAGGATATGCACAGTGTGCTCCTTCCTCCCTTTCCCTTGAACTCGGCACAACCGCCCCTCCATCCTCAGCATGCAGGCAGCCACATGGGTCCAGCAGGAACAGGAGCAGTGGCGTTTCTTTCCAAGGAGCTCAGAAACGACCCAAAGGTCTTTGAAGCCCTTAAGAGTTGGGGGTCACAAGCTGGCTTTCCATTACCTGCAGCTCCTTGGGCAGGAGGTGGGTGGAGCTCAGCTACAGCCCATGGGTTGTCGTGGTAACCACCAATTTGGCCCTTCCTCAGCATCTCCGGTGGCAGGGAAGTTCCTCTGCTTTCAGCACGGCCAGCACCAGCTTGCGCTGCTTTGGCTGCAACAGGCTCTTCAGCTGGTCCGCCTCCTCCGCTGCAAAGGACCAGAGAGAGTACAAGAGCTGCCCTGAGGAACAGCCCAGCGTGGGCTGCTCTGCTCCCAGGGCAGCGCTGCAGGGCACCCAGAGAGCGCCCTGCTGGCCTCCAGAGCAGGGCCACACAGAGCCAAACCAGCTCCTCCACCCAGCAGGCGCACAAGCAAAGTCACTGGCACCATTCTGGACATTTGGTCTCCTCAGAGCGCCGACGGCGAGGGAAAAAGACATTTGGTTCACTGTCCCAAGTACAGAAACAAACAAAAGCACAACACCAGACTGAATTCACCTGCAGAAGCCCAAATTCACCAAATGCCTGTCGAATTCATCAGGAAGACACTCACTTAACCACAAGGCATCATTTCAAACTCTGGATTTAAGCCCTAAGAAGCCAGTGACAAAGCACTCAAGCTGTTTCATTAAACACAGACTGGGAGGGCTTTTTAGGGTCTATTACAAACAATTGTCATCAGCTGCTCCCACTGCCAGAACTGTTCTAGTATAGAACAAAAGTTTGAGAAATCAGTAAGAATTCCAGCGAGTACCAAGACTAGACCTCTTGGGGATGGTGCAGGGAAAGAGATTCACATGCTCCAAGGTCTTTAAGATCCAAGATCTTAAAGGCATCCTTCTATGCCTTTAAACTGATGTTAATTTTGTGCAGTAGAACCCGAACAGAAAATAGATTCTCCCCACAGAGAACCACCTTTGCTTTATCTGTAAAGCCCAATGCTTCCTACTAAAACAACGTATTTATATTTTCCCTTAACAAACCAATATATTTTCATTTGACTCAGGCTGGCAACAACAAGTTCTTCTCAATATGTATACAGAGAGGATGAAAAGGTAGGCAGAAGAATATGTGTCGATATTAAGTCTGAAATAAATGTTTCACATTGCATCAATGTGCTGAGCTACAAGCACACGAGTAGGACTGTAGCAAGCCAGACCCTGGTCAGATTGGCATCACTAACAAGGAAATATGCTGCTAATGTGGCCATTAAATTACTTCTTGCATAAAAGGCAACAGGGGTATCAGGCTAAGCTTTGCTATAGGCCAAGAAAATAACACTCTAAATGTGCAGGGTATTGACATGGAGGATGGAAAAAGTTACTATGGTACACAAAGATATTCAAGGAAGGAAAAAAGCCTATATTGTGATTTAAGAGCAGACATGCTAGGCTCCAAATATAGGGTGCTTTCACGGCATATTTTAAAATACAGTAAGAAAGCATATTTTGTTCAAGGTAATTCGTGAGTGTTCTTGGTGAACACAAGATGTGAAATGGTTCCGATTAACATGGCCCAGAATACTGTAAATAACTCCTGTGAATCACTGAAATCACCCAAAATTTCAGAGTTCCAAGAACTGTATTTCATGAAAAATCATGGGCTACTTTCCCCGAGCAGCAACTCACCTAATTTCCCAACAATGAGTCTTTTCTGCTCCACCTAGCCTTTCAGGGCTGTCACTTTCTAAAGTTTGGCTTCTTGATTCGCAGCAATTTCCTTTAATCCCTTCGGTTTCTCCGGGTCAGCAGTTTTGCCGTTGCTGTCGTTGCTCTTGCTGCTTCGGGAACTTCAGACTTCGTGGTTCCTGCGGTCCAGACGAGGGTTTCTTAAATTATTGTTTTAAATGAACCCATGGTAAGGCAGTGACAGAAACGACCAATCCCAAAACTTCAAATCAATCACCACAGCAGTTCGGAGCAGCTTGAGCCCAGTCTCCTGCCTTCCCAGGGCTGGGCTCTTCTCTCCGCGGGGCATCCGCCAGCCGGCCAGGGACACTTTTGCTCGGCAGGGCAGCAGAGAGGGACAGACCCGCAGTGGGCTGGGCCAGCACCACCCCCAGCCCCGCAGCCAGAGCGGCCCCACAGCCCCCTCTGGGCACAGCCCAGCTCGGGGCTGCCACCTGGGGCTGCGGGGCCGCTGCCACTGCCCACCCTCCTCCTGCCAGAGGAGCTCCCGGCACAGCTCGGCAGCCTAGGCATACCACTCAGGTACGCTCCCTTTGCATTGTCATGGATTTTCTTTTTTAGTATATTTTGGGGGTGTTTTTTACTTTATTTTAGTTTTCATTTTAGAAAGCCCGCCAGAACTCATAGAGGTGGCACAAAGGCTGCCGGGATACACCAAGGCGGTGCAAGGGCTGCCGTGCGCCAGATTGAGACTGAGCACCGGCAGTTGGGTCGCGCTTCAAGGCTTCACCAAGGCTCTGGCAGTACTTACAGGGCCTGAAGGCTCATGGTGTGACCTGGCACTCACTTGGTGTCTATGAAAACCATTCTGCTACTTTGAAATGTTTTTTCCTAGAAAACGCACGCATTACTCAAGTTACACATCTAACCAAAATGCAGCAAATGGCCTCCAATCCCACCAATTGTCTTCTTGCTGTCACCACATCCTTAGCCTTAGAATGCAAGGGGAAGTCTACAGCTGCTGGAGCAGTTCCTGGGAATGCAATGAAACGCCCTTTCCTTGGACTGCACAAGGGCAAGTGCTGAGGGCACCACACAGCTCCTGCCCAAACCCCCGCAGCACAACCCCCAGCAGATCCCGGTGTTCCACCAGGTGAACATGGGCAGTGCCATCTCCACTCCTGATACACGGCCCTGCTTGAGCCAGCGATGCATGGCCTCGTCGTGTCCTGTCCTCCCACGCACCATGGAGTCCAGCCTGGCTGGCTCCTGCCAGACTGACTGCTGCCAAAAAATCAACATATATGCCACAGGCAGCACTCCTGCTCCCTGCGTTAAGGAGAATCACCTGACCACTTGAGTCCTAAGTGCAAAATGAAAGAGTTCTGTGGTCAGAACAATCAATCTGGACAGCAATTCTCTAACCATATGCCACTCATCACCAAAGACGGTCACAAAAGAGCCCTGATCGTGGGCACATGCTCCCATCCCCATGCATGAGGAAAGCAGCCACCGGTCACCATCCACTCCCTTCCTCGGATGCCAAAATACACTCATCAGGAAAAGCATTACTAAGCAGAAGGCTGTTGAATTTATAGTGTGCCTTACTTCCTCTGGGGGGTCTTCAGAAGAGGCCTGCCCAAAGGTAACAGTTCGAAAAGCAGGGTAAAAATCAGCACGCAACTTTCACGGCAATAACGAAAGCAAAACTTCAGGGAATGGCAGATGAAAAAGGAAGAGGCTACCAAAACAAATTGGCAGAGGAAAATAACCGCACGTAATCCATAACTGGTATCAAGTCAAAGCAAATGCATTTATTCCCAACCTTGTTACTCAGGCAATAATGATGAAATACACTTGAGAAGCAGTTTCTCAGGAGCAACTTCCACAGCATGATGGCAAACTTGGAGAGGAAAAAAGTCAAAGGGAAAAAAAAAACCTCTTGCAGGCTGGCAGCCTGCTTTGGGGCAGATAAACCCTGATTTGGGAGGGGTTGGAGCAATCGATGGAAACCTCCAGATAGGTCTAATGGGGGCATAGGAACTGAGTGACACTGACAAGGCAAGGATGGTACAACTTGGTGAGGATGTGGCCCAGGTGGGTGCCAGCTCCCGCATGACACGTGTGCCAACATACCACCCTACCCTCTCAACACGGAACGCTGAAAGCCCTGCCAGCCTCGAGCACATCTGCACTCACACCACATCCAAGATTTGTGCAGCCAAGACACCAAAACATTTAAGCAAAGTAGCCTTGGCAGACGTTCAGCTGCTGCCAGTGTGTCTGTGAAAGCCACTTCCACACCACAACAGAGCCCTCACAGGACCTCGTTCCCAACCTGCCCCTCGCTGGGTTGGAGGGGGCTGGGCAGAAAATCCTGTCTAGTCCCTGGCGTGGGCTGAGGGTTCTCTGGTTCTCCCTCGGCTTCAGCACAGGGAAATACTGCAGCTCAGAACAACTGCCTGGCACAGGACTGCAAACCTTGAGGTACTGCAGAGGAGGAAAGTTGCTTTGCTTTTCACTTCATACACAACACCCCAAGTTTGGCGCTCTGGGGACGTGTGCTCGTGTGGCACCTTCGCGGGAAGAAGCTGGAAGAAGGTGCAGACACTGGAGCATCCCTGCCTTAGGCAAAGCTACTCCAAAAGAAAACCGATATCCAATTCTTTGGAAACCATTTCTCTTTTGTAGCTATTTAGCTCATCTTAGATAGAGTTTGCACTTTGTTAATAACTATCTTGTCCAAAAAAAACCTGGTCCAGCAGATTATGAACTGCAGGGACCCAATGGCAAATCAGACTCTGGTTTCATTTCCTTGAGGATTCATAACAAAATAACAAGCCACCCCTCTAGAAAGGAAATACTTAAACATATTTCATTTAGTTATCACAGATATTTTCCCCAAACTATCCACAATCTGTACAGGAAAAAAAAAAGGTAAAAAACCTAATTAATTCTTAAGCAGGGAATATTGATTATGGCAGCACACTTCCAGGTGGACAAGCATTTCTGCCAGTCTAACAAATCCACTGTCTAGAGTACAAAGCCACCCAAACACATATGGGTCTCTTGAAAGACATTCTTAATATTGTCTTGTGTTAAGAATGTTAAGGACGTTACACTTGCAATTATCAAAAACTGCTCAGTGTCGCTTCTTCAGGGACGACTTTCACACACAGTGAACTCAATGGTCCCCAGAGAGAAACACACATGTGATACAAATACCTATTGTTCAGCTACTAAGCTTTTCCAGACTGCCTGGGCAGTCAAGGCTGGAAATCCTCACTTATGCTTTCCATGTCACATCTGGATTTGCTGGGAAGCAAACACACACACACTCATTTCTGCTCCTCACTGCATCACTTAGAAATAAATTAAAAACCAAGGGAAAAAAACATCTACCACAAAATAAAGAGCTCAGTGCAGCACCATCTTAAACTTCTGCCCAGTGCTGGACAGAAAGAGGGAGAAAACTTGTTCTCCCATTTTTCCCAATTCTGGACTAAGCAGGTTTGAAACAGACAATCTTGTCCTCACCTGCAGCCATGGGGGCTTCCCTCCTTCCTTCAGCCTTGCCCCGACTTCTGAAGGACCAGAGGCACCACACAACCCCAAACTACCAGGATTCACACCCGGTACTAGGATGTACACCTTCATGTTCTATCTTCAGCCATGCGAACTGGAGATGCTTTTGCTTTTCTGGCAGATTTAGCAAATTTCATTTACATTTATCGAGGCAAAAGACATTGTGGATGGTACACAGCTGGCAGAAGTCTGAAGAGGGAAACAAAAATTCATTGGTTTCTTGCTTGTGGTGACCTAAACCTCTCCTAGGCCCATGCTCAAGAAAGGAAGGTGTTGCTTTACCTGTCTGAGAGGCTTATGCTGCAGACATCACTTGGCACACTGCTGTCACTGAACTGATCTCTACAGTCTCAGATTGCCTTCTGTGTGTTTTCCACTGGAGTGTGCAGCCATCACAAGTTCAGGAAAAGCCCAGGAAGCACTTAAGTGTCTACCACTGTCCAAGGAATCCCTAAGCAGCCCACAGACACCTACACTACCCCACTCGACTTGGGGCTAACAAAACCAAAATAAGGACAGTCAATGAACTGTCAGCAGTTATTTGCTCCTTAGCAGAACATATCAGAAAAATGTGGTAGCATGGCTACGTGGCCATTTGCACACTGAGAGAGTTGCTATTTGCACAAAAGAAAGACTGGAGGTAGGTGAGAGAGGTTTTATTTTCCCAAAGAGGGACTGAGTTGCTAAAAGTGTGGAAAACACTGAGAGGCAGACATAGGGGCAGGACAACAGAAAACATGGCACAAAGCTTTAAGCATCAGAACAAAACAGTCCAGGATTATCAGCACCGAGCACTGATGTTACCAACTGGCACATTTCTCCAGCTGAACCAACTAATTTACCTCCTGGCATCTTCCACAAAGCATCCTATTAACTAGTGTACCAAAACATCTGCTTCTGTGTGGTTTGTAAACAGAACGTGTTTTCATTGGACCTGATTGCTTTTCTAAGAAAAAAAATCTTGTACAGGTAAAAACCCATCCAGTAACCAGGTGTTTCAGAGCCCACAGCTCCCAGGTAAAGGAGCAGAGGAGCAGCAGCACAGAAGGATCCAAAGGTGCCCGAGGGAGGTTCAAGTCGACTGTGTTTGGTAGGAATATCTGAAAACAAGCTGCTCTGCAGCTGTCTCAAGCCTGGAGCTCACAGAAAGGAAACGAGCTCCCCCTCCTGCTTCATTTTATACCTTCTCTGATCAAGGCAGAATCACACAGTGCAAAAGGGAAGAGAGCAGATGGTAACACCAGTCCAATGTCCCCCCAATGGCCAGCACCAGGGCTCATTCCTTCCTCTGGCTGATGGAACCAAGAGCCAGGTTCTGCTCATCCCGCTCAGCAGATGTGACAGTCGGGATGCGGAGCCTTGGTGGAGGCGACATGTGCTGGTGACACCGGGTATGGCACCAAACCCTGAGGCGCAGAGATAGCAGATCCCTCACCCTGAACAGCCTCCCCATGCCACTCGCTGCCTCTCTGCCACTGCAGGCTCCACTGGACACACACTGCTCAGCATTGAGTCACAGAATGCTTTGGGCTGGAAGGGCCCTCAGAAACCCCCCGTGCAGCCACAGAAACCACACCAGTGACCAGGGCAGTACCAAAGGCACCTGTTCAAGGTGGGCAGCAGGGGAGCAGGACTGCAAATGGAAGGGACAGCAGAAGGCAAAACCAGAAAGAAAAAACAACCATGAGCTCATTTAGAGAGGGCCTAATAATAATAATAAATATATGATTTCCAATTTGCCTCTGTCAGGGAAAATAAAACAGAACTCTGCCTCAAGTCCCTTCATTTCAGATCCCAAAGAAACACATGGACATCCCTGTCACAATGAACAGACGGCATGTCGTGCTTCTGGTTGTCTCTCAAATTCTGCAGTTCATTGGGTTTTATTATTTCATTTCTTTGTTCTTAGCCAAAAGAAGCCCAAAACAAACTATCTGATGAGGCCCCCCCTTTTTTTTTTACCGGGGGAAAACACAAAGTATTTTTAAAGGAACTACTCTTATTTCTGTTTATTTTCCCTATCAACCTGCCCTTGACGTCAGACATGACACTAAGGCCAGAAAAGTTTCAGCCTGCTTCACCAAGAGTCCCAAAGGGAAAAGAAAAGCACTGCCTCCAGCCCTCTCAAAGTCACTGCCCTCAACATGTGCTCATTTTCACCATTTGCAAAGGAAGTGCCACCATTTCTCTCGAGCCCATGCCTTACCTGGTAACACTATTCAACTGAGCAACAGCTATTCCAAAGGCAGAGGTGAAGGATGCAGAGGAACTCACAAAACCAGGGGAGAGAAACTATTGGCGCTGTGGTCCAAAGCAGCTTTGCAAGATGTGCAATGCTGTAGTAGTTTGAACCAGGTTTTCCCCCTGAAGCTAAGAAAATGGTAAAACCCCAGGGGGTGGTGACCCCTGGAAGTTTTGAAGTTTTGTCCAATCTGCGCTCCTGCGAGATGTAAACATACCACAAGCAAACAGAAGAGAAGGTGAGTTGTAGTTTGGTTGTAGAAGCGGTAGCCATGTTCTGAGGCCA